CATACCAAGGTTAACTATCTGGAAAACGAATAGGAGCATCTATTCACAGGCAAGTTAAATAGAGATAAGCTGTTATTTGTTCTTTTGCAGTTTAATAAGCCTGAAGCAAAAGGTGGGAGGCAGCACTGCTTTTGCAACATTTTCCTGCTGGTGAAAACTAAAAATATCAAAGAATCAGACTTATCAAATCAAATCAAAGAATTAGAAAAGATATAGGAGTGGACTTTGCTAAGAGTTGAGGCAGGAAATATAGAGTCTGATCCCATAGAAAAGGAGTAAATGAGACTTTTATCTTCTGAATAGAGTGGCAGTAAGTAATGTGCATCCCAGCTAGAGTAGCGGATTTGAGTGGAGAAAGACAGCGGAGAATGCTGATGCAGAAGCAGATGGGGTTGAAAGCAAGAACACGGAATGGTGAAGTAAAATTCTATACAAAAATAGTTCTGGTTTAGATGAAGTAACTTTAAATTAAAAGAAGATCTTATAAATTCCTTCCTGATGAGATAGCATGGCCATGGTTGTGGTGTACAGATGGTGCAGTTTGTTTACTAATGGCATTTTTTACGTCAGTTGGCAGTAACATTTTAGTAGTACCTAAAAATGCATCTTAAGTGCTTCTCTATAGGCATCTGTGCTTGAAAATTCAGGCCATGGTTGGTTTGAACTGCCTAAATGACTATTTTCTTTAAAACCATGTAGTGTAGCTGCAGAAGTAAATGCCCTGTAGCAAAATCAGGAGGGACTGTGTTGCTCTAATATTCGTTATGGCTTAATTGGAAGGGGCTGGATTTGAAGGATTCAATGAAATCAGATAAAAGCTTGAAATAATACCAAAATAATGGAAATCATTATTATAAAACACTTCCTCTTTCTGTAAAATGGGCTCAAACCAGAGCTGTAAACGTAAATGATAAGCTGTCACATCCAGCTTTCTTTGGTACCCTATTTGTTTTTAATTACTTTTTGCCAATTGTGAACAGTTTAAAGGGCTATCCTGTGTATTGCTGAATGCTTGTATATAACCTCTTGCCAGAGTATCTCATGCCTCCTCATTTGCCACTTTACATGGCTATCCAGAATGAATTCTAGTCTTGTTAGGTAATACGTAGTGAAATTTGGCTCAGAACACGTCTTGAAAATATTCACTTAATCATAATTTCACAAAGTGATAAATTTCAGGTTAGTTCCTCAGTAAAAGAACAGCATGCTGTTTACAAGTTTGGTGTTCACTTTTCAACACTTTGCTGAATAGGGCCTTGAATCTGAAATGCAGCAAACAGACTTGGTATGAGGTTGGTGATTACCCTTTTTTTGATGTTGTCTTCCTCAAAGGAAGTTTTGTCTTTGAAAGCACTGCAAGCAGAAATAGTACTAAGCTTCCATTGCTGATGGAGATACTACAGTGGTATTGGAGTTCCTACACCATGTTGGCTTTGAGATGTACGCTTTTGTGCTTCATGAGTTCGCGTAAGTGTTTAAGGTTTTTCCAGGTCCTTTGTGATAATCTACAAATGGTGGGTAGAGGACCAAGCAGTTAAACCTCAGGTTGCAGTGTGAAGTGCTGAGTAGATAGACAGCCGTTATCTGTTAGGGAGGATGTGGCTGCTGGCAATTTTTTGTCACTATCTTTTTGTCACTGTCTGATGTGAGAGAATTCTTCCTTCTTTGTCAAACATCCCACATCTTTGCTCTTCCTTGTTCCTTACTTTCCTGTTTCACTGGGAAAGTTGGGCCCCTTCTATTTTCCTCTAGCAAAAAATGAAAACGCGGTTTGTGTACTGAGTCAACTCTCCACTTATTTTAATTAGCAAAAAGAAACCGAAGTGCATCCATTAAAATATTTATCTAAATTTCTTAGCTCCAAAAATTTGAATGTGGTTATTTTTAACCTGGTTTCCTAGGGAAAGATGTTCCTGCAATCATTTTTCACTAACCACCCACTGTTAATAACTTCAAAAGCCTTAGTGATGATCACAAACACTTCAGGTGGGGTAGAGATGTCAGCTTTGAAATCCATACGCTTCAGAAATGGGGACAGGTGGGTAGGAGAAATGCTTGTCACTGTGCCGGTCATGTTGCCACACAAGGTCTGGCCTGGTTACTGGGTGTAGGAGGATCTGTGTGGAAGAGACTTCATGAAGATGCCATCTGATGGGAAGGCAGTGTCATCATGGGGGCACTGACAAGAAGCAGGAGTCTGAGGTGAAGCCACAGATTGAGGAAATGCTTTCACCTTCCTTCCATGCTGCTGCTCCTGGTTATGTCTTCACTCTTCTTGACATCCTTTTCAAAATTGCACCTCTGAATTACAAGCGTAACCCAGGGTAATAATGATCTGGCCTTCTGTAGTACCCTCAGACACTACTTCTGCACCACTTTGGTCTGTTGCTGCAGGATGCTGTGGCTGGCCTCAGCCTTTGTCTTCAACCACAGTCCTTGTCTTTGGCCTCAGCCTTGTCTTCAGCTGGTGCCACACAGGTACCGCGCAGGTTTCTTCCTTGAGCAAACGTTACATGTTAGTTCTGTGATCTGCCTGAGGCCTCCTGTGCAACCAGTCTCTTGTTTCTCTTTGTCTGAAGAAAGATGCCCCAAACCATGTTGTCTTTCATCCTGCTAGTGCCTCCATAGTACTTTTCTCCAAGCCATCTTACCTAAAGCCTCCGAGTGGCTTTATGAAATAGCTGTCTGCTTTCCTCAAGGGCATACCCATATAAACAGAGCAAGGCACCATGGCAGGTGTGGGTGTACTTGAATCATGGTTGTGCTTCGGAAAACAGCTGCTCTGGATGCAATGGAGTGTTGTAAACAGCTTATATTAGTCATGAAGTCATTACAAAACCATGGTTGTGCCATCAGTGGTCTGAATGCTAAGAATACACCTGTCAAGATAAACTAGTTGCATCTTTCTATGATTCTTTTATATCAGAACTCCAAGTTTGTTACCCAAACAAAAGCCAGATACAGTAGGAAATGTGTTTTTTTCTGGTTGTGTCCTTTAATTCTTTCAACAGCAAAAATAATACTATGCTACAGTGGTACACAGTAGTGGGACTTCATTTAAAGTAAAGCAAGAAAATGTAATTTAGGAACAGCCTGTAAGCAGATGTTGAAGTGAGCTATGCAAATTATGATACAGTAGATACAACTTCTAACAATCTTCTGATTTTATGGTGTGTAAGGGGTGGAAGAATTCTGGTTTAGTTTCTTTAGTTGACTTTACTTTCTTGGGCTTCTTTGTTTTCCTTTTTCTTTCCCCCTTTTCTTTTTTATTTAGGCAGATTATCCCTCTTTAGTTTGACTAAAGGGAAACTCTTGCTGTATGGTCTGTGTGGTGTCTGGACCTGGTGCTGCAACATGGCACACTCAGGAAGTTATACTGCTTGGGAGTGGCATTTTCAGCATAGATGCTTGCAGCAGGAGTACTGCTTTTGATGTATCTTCAGAGTTGAAAATGGACATAAGTTGGTAAAGCTGCTTTTCTGAGAAGTCTGCTGGCGGCTTTTGGAAAAGAATGTGCTCATCTGCCCAGGACACGGACAGGCATCTGCTTTTCAGTACGTGGGCCTTTTATACTGATTTATTCTTCTGCTACTCTGACTTCAGTTCTCTACTCACTACATTGTTGATGTTTACTGCTTTAGCAATTAAATAATAAAGTATTCATATTACAATTGTATTTCCATCTGCATTTTCATGGAAAAATAGTACATACTTAACCTAATAAAAAATGCCCTCATATTCTTAATGGTTAAAATCTTCCCTGTGGTGTTTGTATTGTTAATAACTCTCAGGGCTTTACTCCTCATCACGTTGCTCTGCTAGAAATAGCTTTGAAATATATAGACATACAAAGTATATATTTTTCTAACAGTGAAAACTAATGTTCTGACATAATAGCCAAAACAAAGTGCCATGAAGCTATTAGCAGTAAATTGAATTTTTTTGTACGTAATTTAGTATAAACGCTGACAAGCTGAAAAAAAATAAAAACAACAAACCCGTACTCATTATTAATTCTGTTTAGCAGCACAGAGGCAGCAGTCGGCAAGGGTGTGCGTTTTTATGTCTGCTTCAATTGCACACTTCATTTATTCGGACGTGGCACAGGCGGCTTTCTCTGTCACACGGCATCACGGGGCGATTAGCGAGTTGCGCCCCGGGGCAGCTGGGACGCTTTGCTGGGGCAGATGTTCTTTTCAGCTTATTCAGTGGCCGTTCTTGGGTTGTTTACTGTTGTCATAGCTACCCGCATTTCCATAGCAGCCGTGCTGCTGTGTGTGGAGCAAGTGAATATAGTTTTAAAAGGATCATATTTTGTTCTATCTCTGTAACTCACCATCTGTCAACTGATTGTTGGTGATGGATTCAGAAACCAATTTAACAATAACAGAAGCCAGCTGATGATTTTTGCTTATATTAAAGTGACAATGGGTGAGGATGCAAGTAAGTTGATGCTTTGATGAAGACCTGCCTTCGCTTTTCCTTAAAACGTAGTTTTGTTCCCAGTCTTTTCTCAAACATGGCTGAAATCCTTTCTGGCAAATCAAAAAGACCAAGCATCATCTTCTCTACGTGCTCAGGTGTAGGTGTTTCCATATGCTTTCCCACTGTCCTGCTTGCTCATCTCAGTGTGTTGATTCTAAGTTGTGATGTTGCACCTGCTTTCACAGATCCTTTCTAATGAAATCTAATCTAAATCTAAATCTAAATGCTCATCACAAAATTAAATAGCAAATCTGTGAGGCTAACAAAGGCTAACCTGTGCTGTCGTGCACACATGCGGATGGTTTGGTGACTTTCCTCGCTGTGCTCTGCTTAGTGGCAGTGTGGAGATTACATGCAAGTTTGGGGGTGAATACAATGTAAGATCAAAGAAACATCTGAATAATGAACTCTTACACCATCTCACTGAAGAAATTCAATTGAACCTACAGTTTAGCAACGGGGGCAAAAAGATTAGCCCAGTTGTAAATAATGTATTTATTGATTGATTTTTCCAGATCCTGACATTGATGCTGCCACTGCCATGATGCTTTTGAATACTCCCCCTGAGATACAAGCAGGTTGTGAGTAGATATTTCTATAGCATATAGCAACATAGACATGTAAAGTTAATACTCTCTTTTATAAGTATACAGCGTACCAGATAAAAAGAAGGATTTCATGAAGAAGTACTACTTCTTTTACAGACCCTTATACTTCCTTGACCCTTACATGAGTATAATTTTGTGCTTCGTATTACATTCACTGTTACATGAATAACAGTAATCCATCATCTCTAATGTAAAGGAGGGGTTATTGTTATTCATGACATACACATAATTTAGTAACATACTATTATCCATACTGATGGAAAGACCTGGGGCAACAGCCAGGAAAGCAGAGAGAGAAAAAGAGCAAGGGAGTGAAGGGTGCATGGCATATGGTTTTGTTTTCATTTTGTTTTGATTTGACTCCCATCGTGTGAGTTACCACAGCCATCTGGATACTTTCCATTCACTTGGGCAACGTTTCAGCTCCTTCCTTGCACACTTCCTGCCTATTTTGCTATTTGCACTACCTGATTCAAGGCAGTAGGCAGGCTCCAGGGAGGGAGGAAAGGTCTGATTTCCTGCCAGTAGAACTGTTCTTGTTCTGGGACCAGACCTGATGGTTTGATGCTGTATACTAACAGAGCCTTGAAGATGCTCTGGCTCCTGCTGTCCTGGGCTGTGCTCATGGTGGGAGAATCATCCTGTCCCAGAGAGCTTGAGGTAGAGGTATTAGAGGAATCCATGGAGAATATTGCTTCAGAAAAGCAGGGAGTACAAGAAAACAAACATATCTCTGGTCAGCAAGCACGGTAGTAATGCCAAGTGACAGCCAGCTCTAAAGAATCAAGGCAGAAGTTAAAATAGAAGCCATTATAAAGCCTGTCTAGCCTCACTATTGTTCTAGCTCATGCAACCAAATCCACATTCCGGGGGAAGCCTTGGTTCTCACTTTGATATTCTGCCTGGGGAAGAGTCAATTACCATCAAAGAATCTCCTGCACAACCGAGGAAAGCTATTGTCAGCCTGCTTTGTGACTGTGCCAGAGAAATATCTGTTGAGAAGCTCCTGTGGAGAGACAGTGTGATGTACCAAGAGCCTGTCCATGCCAGAGTGGTCCTTGCCCTTCTCTCCTCAAAGCTTTCAGGAGCTGTGAGACATAAAAGGACAATCAATTCCAGCCCTATGTGCAAGTAGAAAAAAGGAAAGATTTTACCAAGAAGCGGAGGGTACTGATGAGGCTAATAGAGAATGAAATGAGCGATCTTTCGAGGATCAGAAATTTAAGTAAGTCAGAGTTGTGGGCAAAAAATGGGTAACAGAGTTTGGCATATAAAACAGGATAAAAAGGAGTAAAAAACTAAGTGTGTGAGAGATGAAAGAAGAAAGACAACATTGTGTGCCCAGAAAAGGGCGGAGAAAACACACAATACTCCAGACTTGTGTAGGAGCTGGAGAACTGTTGAGTGCAGCCATAGAAGAGTTGATGCACAGTAACCTGCATAAGCTAAGCACACACTGCAGATGTTTATGTCATGTGCACGTTTCCCAGTATCACAGGTGTTTGTGTGGAAGTGATCCAGAGACCTGGCTGCTTTCATGCCATAGAGATGACATGTGGACTCGCAAGTGATTTGTTGCTGTTTTAGTTTGTAGAGGTAATTCTGAGGAAGAAAAGTGTGACTTTTGTAATTTGATGTGTCTCTCCTCCCTGTCCCCTCCCCAGTGGGCTGTTGTGTCACAGTGTCAAAAGTGAGACAGAGACGAAAGCAGGAAAGTGGCTCCTTCACTCATGTTGCTACCTTCTTGATGTCACAAAATATCCAGGTTTTCTTCTGTGGCTTTATATCAGGTGTAAAGACATGGGGGTCTACCCAGAAGTTCAGGAATCCTTTCGAATGTTGGGTGGAATTGGCTGAAGTTAGAAGAAAAGGTTAGGAGAGTTGATCATAACTTCAGAGGTCTTTCAAATTGCAGCAAAATACTTGTGTATGTGAACACATCCTTGAGAAGGTAAATAAGCCCACCTATGAAATGCAGTGAGGTCTACCTTTACCACTTTACCATGTTAGGAACATCTTAGGCAACTTAAATTAATTACTAGCATGCATGAAGGAACAATTACATGAAAATATCACATTTAAAAATAATTTTCAAATAAAAGGCAAGTGGGCTATAAAAATTTCATAGTGATCCTGAGCATTGTATGGAAGATCACAATTCATTCTCTGCTCTGCTGGTCAGTAGTCTGTAAATGAGCTGAATCATCAGTGTAGTAAGCATGTTGACACTGTTTGGCGTCTCGAAGATTTGGGTTTCTGTTTGTTCTATCAGACTGCACAATCAGGCATGTGCTCATGTCATCAGGGCTGCAGAATGCCCCCTGCTTTGAAGACAAGCTTACCTGTAAGGGATTTAAAGTGGGAGGGACACTGCTTGCAGTTTGGCCACGAGTGTTAAAAACTGTCTGAAAATACCCTTTGGGTATGAGAGTCTGACTACCAGTGTGCCACTTACTTCAGCAGCAAAGATGGTCGGATGGAGGCAGAACCTGCCTGTAATTTCATAGCATAACAGCTTGGCAAGTCCAGAAGTTTAAAAGTCCAGTGCATTAAGGTGTTCATCTGTCCTGAAAACATGTAGAACATCTTTGTGAACCATGGATGTCTTCATGGCACAGTCTGAACTTGTGGGTGATTGCACACATTGGCTTTTTACTTTGAAGGCATCTCCTTGAATTAAAAGCTGCCTTCCCAACAGGATAAAAACTTGTGCTTCTCTGGATGGCGTGGATGCTAAAAGTGTTTTGGGGATAAAGTTAGGTACAGCCATCACTCAAAGTCATATTAAAATTTATTCTTTTAATGTGATCTGTCAGAAAGAAATCCCATCTTGGTGGCATTAGAAAACCCAGCGTATACTAGTCCTTCCCTGTAACAGACTGATTAATTAGCTTTAGGTTTTAAGTGGCCATTTGAAATTATTTATGAACATCTCAAAGACTGCTGACAGCCACACAGGAATTTTAAAATTCGCTTTAGTTTTTATATGATTCCATGAAACTGTGTCTGAGCTGGCACAAGCATTGCTCAGCATTTGCTTCAATCACACTGTGCTTTCATTTTCATGCAAAAAAAGATTGCAAAATAAAAGAGTAAAATGCTGCTATTTGGATTTTTTTATTGTTTGTGGGAGTTTTGCTTTATAGACTTATGAAAGTGATTGTGTTGCAGTCATACTGGGTTGTTGACAAAGTAAAGTTGGCTTCCTAACCTGTCCAAGTTTCATTCCTGGATTGTGGTAGCACTGGCATCAGAAATTTCTAAACAGTTTCTAAAATATTAACACCTTACCATATTTTTACAAACTGAATAACTGGAGATTGCAAATAAAGACAGAAGTTACAAGCAGCCAGCAGGGCTCCACTGAAAAACACAATCCAGCTGGCAGAAGGTACAGGTAGAAACATAATTTTAATGTTTATTTTTTATTTCAGTTTATGGAAGTCCTTGCATTTCATCAAGTTTTGTATTATTTGATTATGTTAAAAAAAAAAAAAAAAAGGAACACCTGGCTCCTTTAGTAGCAGCTATCACGTGTTATGAATACTTTGTATTTCATTAGTAGTGGAATATGAATATTCATACCATGATACATGACTTGCATTGAGAGCTGAATTTTTACCTGGAGGGGACTCAGTTTTGATTGGGTTGCTGTGGGCAGGTTGTGTCCAGTGGCTGGACCTTTGTTCTCTGACGGGTATCTGGCTCACAGAAGGGCCAAGGGAGAAGATAGCAAACAAAAGTGATGAAGCTGCATCTAGACGCTGTGGCGACTCGATTAGTGAGTACCTGCATGTTATTTTGTATGACTGTTGAAATGCTCAGTACTTCACATCTTCGCAGCATCTTGCATGTGAGTGCTACCAGCTGGCACTTCCAGTGACATACTGTCTTCAGCTCCAAGGTTGTATCATCCTGGCATGCTGTTTAGTCCTGCCAAACTGTGTTTTGCCATGAAGAAACTGGGCATAGCGTTTGGTAGTTCTGCAGTGTGTTTGGACTTCCTGAGGTTCAAGTCACTGTTAGCATTTTAAGTAGCAATACTTTTTTCATCAGTGGGATTGTTGTGAACTTGCTCAATTTGCAAGAACCAATGGAAGGTAGTTGTGCGAAACCTATTGATAGTAGTGCTGGTGAAACGCACCAAGGTCAAAGCATTACACTGAAGATATTAATGTGAGTCACTCCTGACACAGCCATCATAGACATAGCTTTGAATTCAGGAGTAGGCTTTTGCATGTTGCTATATGATTTGGGAACTGCACACCAATGCAAGCATGTTGCCCAAGCTGCAACTTAATACTGCACACAGCTGTAAACTGCTTGCAGGTAGGGCTTGGGAGGAAACCAGGAAACTCCAGGAGAGTGTCTTCAGCTCCCAACATTTATCTTCCAGTTTGTTTCTAGTCATCCAGATTAGCTAGAAAGTGACAGCCTTCAGGATATTTCATGGCACTGTTTTTAGAGTTGGTTCTTTATTAGAGACTGAACTGCTCTACGAAGGATTTTTGGGAAGATAGGAGAATGGAGTTTTGCTGGGCACTTTTTAAAAGGCAGGTTTTTCAAGGGTAAGATCTCGTTTTGGAAACCTTTCTTCCCTCAAAGCATCTGTAACGCAGCATAAATACATTCAGCACATCTTAAATTCAGTGGGATGAGAAGAAATTCTTAAAAAAGGTCTACTTCTATACGAACAAAAATGTATCTGAATGAAATTCAGTTTTTAAGCGAATGCAAGTGGATTGGATACGTGGGATATATATTTACAGAAATGAAGGAAAAAATGATACAAAATTGTCTTAAGAGCAAACAAATGCTGTGAATAGGATCAAATAGAACATGCTGTCTTCTCAGTGCATTTTTATTGTATGTGAAATGTGTTAACTGCTGTGTTCTGTTTGAAAGCTTGTGGACAAATTACTTGTTACAGCCGATGAGGCAGCTTCCAGCCTTACTTTTTATATCAGAAAATG